CCCGTCCCAGCACTTAATGACCAGTATCATGTCGATGTGTTTCTCTTTCCCCAAACAAACAAAACAAACATGTAACTAATTTTCATTCTTCTTCCTCCATAAGTGTTGTGTTTTTCATGCCAATACATTGTTATGTAACCTACAAATATCGGCAACAAAATCAGGACACGGGACCAAAAAAAATAAAAAGAAAAAAAGATAATTGGATAATTCCAACTATAATTAACAATAATCAATCTGACCGGCGGTGAGTTGGTGAACTAATAAAAACAAAACTATTCCATTTTGAAAGTTGAAATACATCGCTTTTCATCACAGACAGAAGCAACAGTTCTAATATTTTATATCACGAAATGCCTCGTGAGTGACAGAATGCTCCAGTGTCAGTTCGTGTCTCATTTTTGAGATCTTGGGTATTTCAACATACAGATTTCACCCAATTTTCTCCAGCTTTGGACAACGAGATACAGACCTCAACATAAGTTAAGGACCACTTGGACAGACAGCCCTAATTTTTTTTTATCCGGAAAAAAGACAGCAAGGAATGTTTCAAAACTTTTTGCTCTGAAAGTGAAAGTGCTAATGGGTTACCAAAGCGTACTGAAAAGCTTCCTGAAGGGGAAAAACCAACACGTGCAGCCCGGAAATCGTCGGGGAATTTTAGCCAAATTTGCTGCTTTTTATCGAATTGTGTGCGACACCACAGACATTCCTCAGTTAAAATTTCTGGTGCACGTCATCAATGGACGTACGGCCTTGAACTGTGCTCACTTTCGTTGCAATATAAGCCGCCGTTTGTGCAAAACCTAGATCTAGTATCGCATCAACATGCAACCAAAACGAAAGCTGAGAGACTTTGATCGTGCAAGAGCTATGACAAGGCTGCAGAATGGAATTTGAGCCCGAGAAGTTGCCAGAAGGCTGCAGTGTCACACTCTGTCATTGTCCGCCTGAGGCAGCGCCATCAAGCCACTGGATCAGTCCAAGAACGCCCTCGTGCAAGTCGACCCAAGAAGACCACTCAGAGTGTTCGCAATTGGTCCTTAACTTATGTTGAGGTCTGTATATGTGTTCGGAAACGTTTATTCCGACTTGCGACATGTCCACGCTTGTCTGGTCCAAAGTGTGTCGATGGAGACGTAAAACACACTTGTGCTCGTGCCTAGAGAAATGTCCCAGTTATCGGCAAAGCTACTTTTGAGCAACAGGTGAAAAGGCAAAATAAGTCGTAAGTTCTACTTGATCTAAATTTTTGTTCCATCACAAACACACGTTTTACCACTTCTAAATAACATATTGCAAGGATATACTATCTTAAGATCGTGTCAGTATATTAGTGTTTTAGCGCCTATAGATGGCCGCGTGCACTGTATGCTTCCCACGAAGTTGAGGTTGTTTCAGAATGCTCGCAGGTCTCCTCGGGTAATACTAATAGTGCAGATTGTGAAGCGCATAGAGCTTGCTGTTGAGCGGGGATTTGCGCTATACAAATGCTATCTATTATTTTTTTTTTTATTAAGTCTAAGTATTTTTTAATCAGATAATGTTACATTATGTTGCACTTCAACAAATGTTAAAATTGTGCAAAAAAATTATTTTGGTCTCCAAACTTTGTTTTTACACACTATGTTACAAAATGTGGCATGTCTCTAAAATCACTCTAGATGTTTGGAAATTTAAAAAATCAGCGTGTTCAGCGTTGAATTTGCTTTAAGAATATGGCCTTATTTCAATATCCAAATTTTCCGACAACTCGGACCTTTCTCCAAGCATACACACAGTGGGTGGTTGGCGGGTGCTCTGGTGTGGTTTGCTCCTTCTTTCCTATCGAACATCTATCGTCCTTATCTCTCCTTCATCCTTTTTATGTTTGTTACTCTCTTGTAACACCTCTAATCTTCTGGCGCTCACATGACCTTATGCAGTTTCGAGCGCTGAAAAAAAACCTCTACTATAACTAAAAACTAAAAGCATACACACACACAGAGATGTCTTGCTCCGTTAGCTCAGTTGGCGTCATGCTGGATGGCTCTGGTTCGTATCCAAGATAAGGCGTTGTTGAATTTGGGTCGTTTTGTCGAGTTTTTAGGCCCTCTACCTACCCATGTGGCTCGGTCCTATCCGGTACAGACGGTAAAATCAGAGGTCCAGCCTCGTTAATGACCTAATGGTGTTTATAAGGGTGTTAAACCTCATACACTTGTGTTTTTTATATCAAAGTGATAGTAGCAGGAAGAAAAAGACATCTCTTTTTTGTGAAAGCGGTTTGTTCCGGGGAATTTTTCAGATCCGAAAGCTGGACCGTCGACTGGATATCTTGACTAATGAAGTGCAGAAGCTGAAGAAATATTCTGGGGTGAGCGCCTGTGCAGAATAGCATCTACAGAGCGATCCCCTTTTGCTGAATAATGATGCCCCCCCCTCTCTCTCTCTCTCTCTCTCTCTCTCTCTCTCTCTCTCTCTCTATCTATCTATCTATCTATCTATCTATCTATCTATCTATCTATCTATCTATCTATCAATCTCTCATGCATTCTCTGCATATGCGTGTGCATTTGTTTTGTGTGTGCGTGTGTGTGTGTGTGTGTGTGTGTGTGTGTGTGTGTGTATGCGTGTGTGTCTCTGTGTGTATATATGTGTGTCTCTATGTGTGTGCGTGTGTGAGTGATTCGGTGTGCGTTTGTGTGTAAAAGTGTATGTACGGGTTCGTTTGTTAATGTGTGTACATTATTATGCCTTTTTCAGTGTGTGTGCTTGTGTGTGTGTGTATGTCGGCATGTTCTAGTGCGTCTATATGTGTGTGCATGTGTGTGTGTGCATGCCAGTGCATTTTATATAATATATAATTATA